ACACAGGCTCACCGCATAGACATGTTTACTCCCCATTCGCTTCCTTCCTCAGCTTCCCTCTCTAAATCCTCCTAGCCACTTTTGATTAGGACTAGGCTTGCCTGGTCCCCAGCAAAAGTCAAAGATGATACGTTTGTAACACCTTACTCTGCGTGAAGACTTCTGTACTTCAAAAGAGCATTGCTATCTCATATTTAACAATAACAAGCAATGCAGTATTGATCCCACTTGCTTGCCTAGAACTTAAAAGAGTGATCCTGAGCAATTAAGTAGCTTTTTACAGGCTCCTGACAATGCAGAAATGGAAAAGATGTGCTAGATGAATGAATGCATCCTTGTAAAAACACAGGATCACGTCACAATGTTAGAAAGTCAGCAATCACTGTGCCACCCCATGCCCAACTTTAAATTCATAGTATTTTACCCACAATTGAACTACTGTTTCTAGGATAAAGAACAAGCATCTCATGAATCATCAAACAGGATGGTTGGTCAAATTAAGGGAAAATACTTTTCAGATGCTGCATACACGTCTAATTTTTCATTTATTTTTCTGTTTACAATTGTAACTGAATAATCTCAGTAATTTTCCCTCCTTCTTTTGTTACAGGTATTTGCAACAATAAGAGCAAAATTTATAATACACAAATGAAAGCGCAGTGTAGAAGCACTCTGTGAAAGCAAAAAGGCTCCCTTTCATTTTTATCACATCATGTAATAACAGTAACTTGCAGCAACAGTAAGAAAGTTCAGATGAAAGTGAAAAATTTCAAACCAGCCACGTTCCTTTTAATGAGAAAACAAAATACACCAACTCCTGCGTGCTGCTCCTCCCTTCCTTCCTCTCCCCATCTCATAAAAGAGGATCCCAAAGAAGAATCACGTTTAAGGTCCCAGTTCAGAAATCCTGTATTGATCCCTTAAAGCCAGTTAGAATTTTGGACTACAGAGCCAGGCCCCAACAAACATCTTCTAAACTGAATAATCTATCTCATCCTGACAGACCACATTACTCAGAAACGAAACATAAAATTATAACCCTTGATATTCACAAACATGTATTAAATCCAGCACCCTACCCTTCATTATCATCTTTAACATCTGGGCTTTATGCTAAGGAAAGGAAAACAGACACGTTTCTAACACAGCCCATACAAATTGTGTGCAAAAAAGAATCCGCAGCATTTTTGCCTTACTGCCAGCATCCAAAAAAGTTGTACGTATCTAAGTGGTGTGTACAATTTTGAACATGCAAAAAAATTTTAACAAACATCATCCTTTTCTCTGGTTTTATGAAAGCTTGAGCTCTTCTTAGTTCTTAGCAATGAAGACCTTTTTTCATGGGCATCACAAAAGGTTTCACTCACTTCACCTCTCCAGTCTGTTTTACCCTTTGACAAATAGTTCTTTTTCTAAAATTTAACAAGAGTGGTTCACACATAACTATGTGCAGAATTCACATAATAAAAGGGAAGCAAGCTGTATTATTCAATCCATGGTAACCCATTAAAAGTCTGAATGACAATATGGAGTCATATTCAGGAAGGAGCACATTCCTTGGATTTGACAGTCACACAGTTCTAACATTGCTACTATTCATTTTTTTTGTAAAAGAAACACAGTGGACAAGGCATATTGCTGCACTGGACACGGCTCACCTTTGAAAAATTAAATAGTTTTTAGGACTTGTCATTTTTACATGACACTGAATGACTCAAACACATGACTAAAAGACATAAGCTGTATCAGAACAGAGCTAAAAAAGGACAAGGGTATAGCTGTAAGTGTACCTTATTTACATTATACACACACACACAGATGCACATACATAATGGCTGACGTATTTCTACCTCAAATAATGCATCTAGCTCTAGGTAGCTCACTACCAGCATGGTAACAACAACCTGAAGGTAGTTCAGAGAAGATCAATCAAAATGATTAGTGCTGAAGGTAGAGTTAAAAACTCAATACTGCAGCTGTTCCGTGACCAGAACTTTCACTGGGTGGAGGGGAAGAGAAGTCCAAACAAAACCATCATCCTCTAAAAATATATCAGTATATACAATTAGGGAAGCATTGGCTTTCAAAAAACATGACGATAATCTGCGCACAACCAAGGAGGAACTCCAAGAAGAAAGCAAAATTATTTATTGCAAGCTCGTAAGTCTAGGCATAATGAGCTTAAACTATTATAGGAATTTTGACTTGACATCCAGCAAGTTTTTGCTCATAGCAAGATCTCCTAAACTGGGCATAACCTCACCAAGGAAAGGTAAGATAAGGAAGTAAAAACATTGTTGCAGGGTTCAAGCTGGCTTTGACAGGACTTGGACTAAATAAGAAGCTTCTTTCTTCTGCTTAGGCTGTCTTATTCTATAAAATGATACTAGGAGCTACAAACATTGCAGAACAAGTGAATGCATGCAACACTGTGCACACAAATAAATGATGAAGTGTTTTCAAAGCAGTTTTGAACAACAGTATTTTGTTTCAACAGATTAATAAACTAACATCTTTGCCTTGAAAAGGCCTTTTCACAAGACTGAATTTTTCAAACTAATAGGAATAGGGTCCAACCACTGTTCAGGCAACAAACTCTGTTGTATAAGCAGCACTATTAAATGACATGACTGATTTAAAGACATTTTTATGCTCTGGCTGCTACTGTTACCACTGGTCAGCTAACACAAAGCGTTCTATATGGCAATATAAATTATCTAAAAATGTACTCTGAAATTAAGTAGATACTGCTTCTCCCCATTACATTAAACAGAAAAATTTTACTTTTGAGTGATGGGAAGAAGATTCAGGTCACCATTAAGTTTATGTATATCCTAGATTTCATCAGAAAGAAAAAGGTAAGAAAAATAGTTTCTTTGTTGTCAAGAGCAACCCATTGCAGAATACTAATAACTTCACTCAGTAAGACGTATCTCTAAGTAATACTCAAAATGACTGAGGCGCACAGTTTATGTGCAATGACAAATAACATGAAGCATGTTATTTTTCATTGCATTTTACACTACAATGTCTTAGAAACCTGTGTGTAAAAAGTAAAAAAAAAAAAGCATAAAAAACTAAGGTGTAAACAAACATGCTTAACATTTCCTTCTTGTCCCCTCCTTTAGCAGACACAACTGAATAGCGACTTCCAAATTTAACACACACATTTTTATTATTTTCTATGACTACTTTCCCTTATGGAACAGCACACCTTATTTAGTATTAATTAAATGTATCACGTTATCATGCAGTTCAACACTTCTCTATTTCCACAGCTCTAAGAATACCTTCGTTTCAAAATGTGGGGTTTTTTTATTAACACTGCTATGCTTCAAATGTTTGTCATGTTATTTGAGAAGCAGAAAAGAATTACACATATTAACACAAAATTAGATGAAGAAAAAAGGGTTTTATCCATAAAGTAAATTTACAGAACTCCAAAGAGCAATTTCATGACTTTCAAAGGTACAAACGGAAGAAAGGGACAAAACCAGGAGGCAGAGCGCTCCTTCTTTGGTAAGTATTTTCACTCATTCAGTTCTAAAAAGAGAAAAACAGCAGCAAAGAAGGGGGCACCTCATACGCCCATACGAAGCAGGAAGCTAAGGATTTAGGTTCACTACTGGATTCTGCACTTTGTGCATGATTCCAAATGCAAGCAGCTAAGACTGCCGTGCAGGGCCGCAGGCGCAGGGTACACGCAAGACAGCAGGATCAGAAACGCGCCCCACCACCGCAAGGAGCAAGGCAACACATGCCACAGCAGCAGAACTCCTCCTAAGTTGCAGTCACCTTTTTATTAACTTAATGAAAGGTGTATTATTTTAAAAATTCTGATGAAAGTTACCACAAAACGTGGCCAGGCCATCAAATGGAACTTTCGAAGGGAATCACTATATAATCATGGAACACCCCCCTGCCCCGTCACTGCAAACGTCATAGAAAATGGACAACTACGTAAAAAGTTAAGATGCCTTTTTGCCCTCCTAACATGGCCCTGGCCAAACCCAAAATGGTCTCTTTACCTGATACCACTCTCCTCTTCTCTGATCATAGAGAAGACGGGTGAAATTCAAAATAGCATGGTTGCAACTGGAGACTAAGAGAAGGACAGGGGAAGCTCTACACATGCTCCTTCTTCACAAACCACGCTACAGACCTTGGGAAAAGCTCCCTTTATCATTTTGTACGTATCTTGCCTCTGAAACTCCTTTGCATGAAGGCATTCGTACCAGCTTCCACGTCCAAAATGTGACACCGTTCACGCTGCTACTCTTAAAAATAAAAACAACAGCCACACGCGCCTTCTCTCCCAAACAGCCTTACAGAGACGTTGTGTTTGCTCCGATTCCTTAATCGTTACTCCCCCCTGCACCCCCCCGTCCCCGGAAGGAATATTTAAAAATCAACCAGCCAAACCCCATACACACTTCAGTGTATCACCACAGGGACACTCTCAGGTCTGAATTACTGCAAAATAACACTGTAATTATGTCTTAATTTCACTAACTAATCTCAGATGAGCTTTTAAAAAGCAATTCGAGGTTTACAAGAAAAGCGTTTAAAATTGTATTCAAATGTTATCTAAATGAAAACCTACGTTTATTTATCCTTCTCTGAGCTTAAATTTAACCAGTTTTCAAAGAAAGGCATATCTGCTCCTGGTAACAAATAATAAGCCTTGTTAGAAAGAAAAGTGTGGCATCTGAAAACAAATAAAAGGCACGGGAGAAGTTTCCAAGCAAGGAGGAAGATGTAAAGAAACAACGTTATCCCTTCGCACAGATCTCTGGCCACAGAGACTAAGAACAATCTAACGACCTTATTTACTCAAATTGTACGCTGCCAACAAAACCACAACCTAAGGCAACTTTTTAATTACAGATGCCCCTAAATACCTAGGAAAATTAGGTTACTTCTCTTCACGTGAAACCGGAGTCCCACTGAGCTCAACCAGATGCGGCAGGCTGAGATGAAAGACAAAAAATGAGCCTTACTTGGTGTACAAAGACATCAACCGGAGACTCCAAGGGGCTTCCCTCTCGGTTACTCATGGAGATGAACCCGAATCCCATTCTCACATTGAACCATTTGCAATGGCCGGTTCCGTGCAAAACCTGGGATTCCTCCTCTTCTTCCTGCTCCGGCAGCTTCCCGGGCTCGTCTCCACCTTTACTCGCCCCTGCTGAGGAAGAGGGAGAGGCGGGAGGGGGGGGGGGGGAGGGGGGGCAAAAAAAAAAGAAGGGGGGGGGGCAAGAGGAAAGGGTCTGGTAACATCCTTTCGCCACTGTATAAAGGAGTTACTACAGAAGAAACGGGTGAGAAAAAAAAAAAAAGGCGAACAAAACAAAAGCAAAAAGCTGAACGGCGAAAAGAGCTTTTTTTCCCCTAAATCCTAAAATACACAACCTTCTCCCCAAAATACGTAAAAAGATAAAATCACCGGAGGTTATGGAGAGGAAACACGGCGTACCGAGGCTCTCCCTCTCTCTGTGCCCAGGGCAGCCCACGTTTCTCTACATACGTGTATTTTTCCATTTAACTCCATCTTTCAGCCACATCACAGCACGGAACGCGATACTTTACTTGAATATTGCTGGTTTAAGACCGATCCCATTCCTCGACAGAAATCCTCAGCCCAACTGGTCTCTCCTGGCAAGGCGCAGGACCGGGGGGCGAGGGGGGAGGCCGTCCGAGGAGAGGTGGAGGACACAGAATAAGCAAAATTGGGTGGATTGCACAACGGGTTATTGCACATGCGGCGCGGAAACCACTATTTTCCAGCGTGCGTCCATCCCTCCTCGGAATAAACTTTCGATTCAAGTTGGGACAGGTGTACGGCCGTTTTCTCATCCCACCACCGCGACCGTGCTTAATCAAACAGGAACAATTCAGACAATAGCCCCCTGAAAGCTTTTCAAGTCGTGAATCGGTGTGGGCGGTACGGAACAGTTTCTGAGCCGGGTAACAATGGGTTTGGAGAAAGCCCCCTCGGGCGAGCTGCTCAAAAAGGGTAATGCATAGTTGGGTTAAAAGGGGGGGTTGGGAGGGGAGGGGGGAGAGGGGGGGAGAGAGCGAGCGAAAAGCAGAATAAAACAATAGAAAAAGAAAATTAACCTTCGGCCATGTTGCCCCACGGGCCCTCTGCTCCAAACTCCTGAGATGAAAACTTTCCCTGTGGATCGAAGTGGTCTTCTGCATTAACCTGACATCCTGATCGCGAACGATCGCGGATTTCGCTCGCATGGTCTAACGTGCTTTCCCTCTTTTGATTTTTCCCCTTCTGGCTCGCTCCGCTCCTGGCCCCCTGCGCGCACGTGACTCGGTCAATTACATGCTTTCTTGCGACTAATTTCACACCGGG